CATACTATTAAGTTCCTTACATAGCAATGGAAATGTATCCATATTAACTAGGTAATGAGTCCATCAAGTATATTGTCTTACCAATAGAACCTACAAATGTGGATCAAATAGTCATGTATTCCTTAATGATACGAATACATTCTGAAAAATGTGTCACTGGGTGACTCTGTTATGTGAACCTAAATGACGTAGTCTACTATACACTTAGGCTATACAGTATAGATGATTGATCTCAGGCTACAAACCTATACAGCAGGTTAGTGCACTGAATACTGTGGGCAACTGTAACACAGTGGTACCTGTGTATCTAAATGTATCTACACGTAGAAAAGGTACAGTAAAAATATGTTATAATCTTATGGGACCACCATTGTATACGCAGTCAGTCAGTGAGTGAAATGTCATTATGTGGAGTATGACTATTTATCAATTTTTCTGTGTGTACTAGAGAATTATCAATATATGATCTACAGTTTGGCTTTCAACATGGCAGATACCAGCCGCATGAGATTATTTAAATTAAAATTAAATGCAATTTAAAATTCAGTTCCTTAATTGCACTAGTCACATTTCAAGTATTCAAGAGCCACCTGTTGCTAGTAGCTACCATATGGAGATAACATAAATGCAGAACATTTCCACCATCACAGAAAGTCCTATTGGACAGTGCTGTATTCTAGAAAATATAATGACAATCCCTAAACTGATAATGTACTTGTACAGGGATTGCTGAAAACTGTATGCTATTCTTAAATGTCACAAGAGATATCAGAAAAACTGAAGAGAAGGAAAAAAAGGGAGGTGAAATGATTGGGGAAAGAAACATCATAGCAAAAAAAATTATGAGTGATGAAGTAGCAGATGCACGCCATTTATTCAATCATTTCAGCTATGAAAAGGAGGTAGGATTTTTATTTATAGGACCTGCTGAGAACAGCGAATGTTATGCCCGACATAGTGGACTCTCAGTGTTTTTGTGGTATAATGAGACAAAAAGAGATTTCTTTCAAAATTGAAAAGGGAGAAGAAAAACAACTATAAACCATCTCACTAGGCTCACATTTCTTCACAGGGGAAAAAGTGCCAAAGCTCTTAAGGCAACTCCAGGAGATTCTAGGCAAAAGGTCAGGCTGCTCTCACAGATTGAGAAGAAATGAAGGTGAACGCAGGCACAAAAATGCTGCCATTGAATTATGTGGATCATTCATAAGGAATTACTGCTACCTACCTGATGCCTAGCCTCAATGGCATACACTCCTGTCCACACAAATTCACCAAGGAAATATACAGAAGACACCCCTGAACAGAATAGACATCATACACAATAAACCACAACACATGTCCATAGAAATAACACAGAAATACAGACAGTTCAATGATTCCCTGAAGGCTGTATCTTGTATAGGACCCTCATGAGCTTCTAAACATTAAATCATAGCCAAAGATAACTTTATAAATTCTGTAGTACCCCCAGCTTCTTGTAGCTCTCATCCTCCTCAAAACAAGAAGAGACTTGATATATCATGAATCTCTCATTGTAGGCTGACTCTGAAATTATTCAAGCATTTTTTCTTGGAATGTATTTTAAGTCTTCTCTCTAATTTGTGGAGTAAAAAAATCTCATCCTCTTGGAAGGCAATATAAGTATTGAAGGAGTGCCTGTATTTAGTAGTGGAAAGGAATAGAGAAACCTTTCCATTATCTCTACAATTATACTACAGTCCACTCTTAAGATTCATCCTCAGGTAAAGTGGTTTTACTATTCTATACATTTTTTAGGGTACATGGGGTGAGTAGTAGGAAAAAGGGCTACTATATAACTAAAATACAATGTACTCCAAAGAATGATATGGAACTCTCTTAACCTTTGCTCTCCTCTCCCTCTGCCTGATGGTACCCAGAAGTATCATCACTGGTACTTGACGTCAAGGTCCCTTTTGCATGATGCTCTTTTCAGACAGACCTGGTTCCTCATACTCTATTTTTACAACAAAGCTCCCATTGTGTTTCCCCCAAGCCAGAAACACAAACTTGTGTACAACTGCCAGAGTCCTCTAACACCCAGCATCCCCAAGGACAGGAATAGAAAGCAGCCCGTAAGTATGAAAGGAACCATCATTGACGCTAGAAGATGACCTATTTAGTTTATAACTAATTACAATGTGATTCAAAATCAGTTGTGTATCAATGAACATTCGTAACAGAAATACTAATACTTAAAAATGCATGCTGAAGTACTGGGGAGTGGGTAGGAAGAAAGAGACATGTATGAGGACAGTGGTAAGAGATATGACAAGAGGCAATTTGGGATTGGATTAGAAGGTCTTATATGCCATGTTCAGAAGTTTAGATATAGTCATATGAACCTAAAACTTAAAAGCATAGCTTAGATTATAAAATTCAGAATATAATAGCATATGCCACAGTATTATGGAGATTAGATTGAAGGGGGAATATAGTAGAGAAAAAAGTTCCTGTCTAGGAATGCCTGCTGCAAAGCTAGTTCCAAAAATGATAGGAACCTGAACAAAGACACTGGCAGTAGTAATGAATCTTCCTAAAGCACCTCTTTGATCATCTCACCTCTTGGCCCAAAAAGGACTCCCTAACTCACACAACACACACGGCCTTCCACAAATCTGATTGCAATCTTGTGTAATACCAATGTGCCCCTATGTAAATAACATATTCTAGCAATACAGATTTTCTATTTCCCTTAAATACATAAAACTTTTTGTCTATTATCCTATTGCCTCTGCCTAGAATACCCCTAGTACCTGCCTACCAAAGGTCCAACTCAACTATATCTCTTGATTTATTACTCTCTAAACTTAGCGTTTTATTCATTTTTAAAAATATTTTCTACATTTTATAATCCTACTTAATTACATTCCTTGTTTTATACTCTATCCACTGGGTTTCCCCAAGTGCCAGGTGGCTAGTAGGTATCTGTCATGGGTTGAATTGTGTGTCCCCAGAATTCATGAATCCCTAATCCCCAATATGACTAGGGCTTTGAAGTATGTAATTAAGGTTAAATGGAGGTCATAAGGGTGGACCCTAATCCAATAGAACTGATGTCCCAATAAGAACAGGAAGAGATAGGCCCAGGCCAGGGTTCATGACCGTAATCCCAGCATTTTGGGAGGCTGAGGCAGGCAGATCACTGGAGGTCTGGAGTTTGAAACCAGCCTGGTCAACATGGTGAAACCCCCTCTCTACTAAAAGTACAAAAATTAACCAGGCTTGGTGGCGAGCACCTGTAATCCCCGCTGCTTGGGAGGCTGAGGCAGAAGAATTGCTTGACCTCATTTGTAGTGAGCCAAGATCACGCCATTGCACTCCAGCCTGGGGGATAGAGCAAGACTCTGACTCAAAAAAAAAAAAAGAAGAAGAAGAAGAAAGAAGAAGAAAGAAGAAGGAAGAAGGAAGAAGGAGGAAGAAGAAAGAAGAAGAAAGAAGAAAGAAGAAAGAAGAAAGAAGAAAGAAGAAAGAAGAAGAAGAAGAAGAAGAAGAAGAAGAAGAAGAAGAAGAAGAAGAGGAAAAAGAAGAAAGAAGAAAGAAGAAGAAGAGATACCAGAGATCCCTCTTCCACTATGTGTAGGCACAAAGAAGAGATAGTGACACAGTGAAGACATGGTGAGAAAACAGCCATTTACAAGCCAGGAAGAGAGGCCTTATCATAATTGATTCTGATGGTACTTTTTCCCCCTTAATTCAAACTGCATAGCCTAGAAACTGATGGCAGCTTGATCTTGGACTTCAAGTCTCCAGAACTGTGAAAAAATACATCTCTATTGTTTAAGCCACCCAGTCTGTGGTATTTTGTTATGGCAGCCCAAGCAGACTAATACAGTATTCAATAAATTCTTGTTGAATGCATGCTAAAATCGGATTCTAGACACTCAATTTTAAACACTCTTTTCTGGATTTTATTTCAGTTTGGAAATAGGATATTTTCCAGAAGTACTAAATCTAATTTTCACAACGATAAAATAAAAATTGCAAAAATTTTAAACACTTTAGGCTGGGTCAGGTGGCTCACGCCTGTAATCTAGACGCTTTGGGAGGATGAGGCAGGAGGATTATTTGGTGAGACCCTGTCTCTACAAAATTTCTTTTAAAAAATTACTTGGGCGTGGTAATAGGTGCTGGTAGTCCTACCTACAGGGAGGCTGAGGCAGTATTCAAGAATACCACTACCTTCATACCATTCAGAGTACAAATCTTAATACAGATAGGTTAATGACACAATTTTTCAGTATCTTTGGTTAGTTAATAATGCAATACATATTTAAGATCATGATTTTTGATTTTTGAATTCAACTTTGTAACTAAACAGAAGCACATTTATGACTGAATTACAACAAATAACTTTAATGGCAACTTGGTCAAAACCCAGATCCCTATTCTTGAATTCACGGGTTAATAATTAGCCCTAGATCTCTGGTATTTGGGCGTAGAAAAGCAGAAGCTTTATTTTAAATATTACATCTTCTCTAATAGGCAGTGGCACCAGAGCAGGTACTAGAATCCTCCCTCCAAGCTTCCAAACGTTCTGTCCCACAAAAATCGTAAATCGTACCAAATGTTTGCTTTATCAACTAGCTCTCCTTCACCTTTTTTTCTCCCATAAAAATTCAATTTAGAAAAGTGAGAGAGGAATGGCAGAAGCTGAAAACTGAGTTCAGGGAACTGCTACAAGATTGTTACTATCCTTATCGAAGGATCCCGAGCTTTACCACCGCAGATTACTCAGAGTTTCGTAGTCAAGGCCTGCGAGCCGCAGGGAGAACTATGACCCTCTCCTCCCTCCTCCTACGGAGCAGCCTCGCTCCCTAAGGCCAAACCCGCGCCCCCCATGACCTCCAATGGCTCGAGAAAAGAGGTTTGAATTGCCCGCTTTTTCCAAAACTGGTTCATACTCCCTCGCAGAGCAGGGAATAGGATCTGGGGACAAAAGGAGGGACATGCCTGCCACATGAGGAAAACCCCATCACCTGGAACTCGGCGAACTCCTCACAGTTCACACCGCCACTGGGCGCCGCCATATTGGACAAACACGAGGACCCCGCTGCAGGCCAATCACCGCGGAGCAAAGGTGACCGCGGAGCCGCCTGACAAAAAAAAATATAGTACCGGGCAATCCTTAGGAAAGCTGAGTGCAAAGCTTGACTTCAACGTGGTCCGCATTCACCTCTAAACTTGTCACCCTGCTGTGCTACCCCTTTAACATGTCCTCTTGAAACTGGGCCAGATGCATGGATCAAAGATTGTAAGAACTTGAAGGGACTGTTTACTCCAATTCCATCTTTTTACAAAAGGAAAACAACTTCCTGGTCCTTCCCCTACGACGGGGTCGTTGAAAGAAATCTAGGGAAGTGAGGCTTTTCTAATCCCTTTCAGAGGGGTCTTTGTTAAGAATTTGAGACCACTAAGAAACGTCAAGAAAAAACGGCATTTCTGGCAGTGTGGGTATGAATAGATTAAGGTGTTTAGGATGGAGATGATCAAATGTTTTTAGAAAATAGGTAAATAGAAAACAAATGGAAAATATACACGTTAATTTATTAGATTAGCCTGAAGGATGCTCAAAACCCAACGAGATAAGGCCACTGAGCACTGAATCCAATTATGTGTCTACTGATAAAAGCATATGTTCGTTGAAAACACTGGAAGAACGGCATACTGGAATGCCGGTTTATCTGGTGTACTCTGGGAGTTTACAGCTCAGGAAAGTTGCACATTTCCCTTCAATTTCACACAGCTACTTCCGTGGATGCATATCCGCTAAGGCAAGGGCGCTGGGCACCACACTCCACAGAACCATTCATGAGGCTGACTCAGACCGCAGCGCCAGGGCACTAGGATGGCGCCGCCAGTTTCGGGCGCTTCGTGCACGCTCCGCACGCCCCGCACGCCCGCCCACCGCGTCTCTCGCGCGTCGTCTCCTGGCGCCGCCTGCGTCCTTCCCACTCCAGCGGTGGGTGACATTGAGCTCTTCAGCGCCACCACTCCTGGCGAGGTTCTGCACTCGTCAGCGGAGTAGGCGGCCATGGGGAGCCTCCGCGGTCTACGCCTGGTAGCAGGTGAGGTGCTGGTCGGGCCTTGGGAGGGAGGGGAGCTGACCCGGCCGCTGCGGTCAGGTAGCCTTCCCAGGCCCCGGAGTGGCTCCTTTCCATGACGTATTTTCTCGGTTGCTCGGAATCCTGCCTCCTTAGTGGCAATACTGGGAGAGAACTAGGTGAGCAGCTGCTGGTAGACAATGGAGACTGCCCTTGAGTTATCCTCATCCCGGGCTCTCCATCCACCCAGCTCCCACCAACTTAACGGCCCACGTGCCTTCCCTTGTCCACAACCCCGTCCTCAGCTTCCCCTGAGGTCAGTCTGTAAAGCACGTGCCAACTCTAGACCTCCTCATTACCCGCTCATTCAGCTTTCTACCTTAACCTCCCCGATCCATTGCTCTAATTGAGTCTTCCCTCTTCTCCCTGCCCCTTCCTCTCTGGAGTTTATCTCTGCTCTCAGAAAACCTCCAGTCTGAAGTTTCCACTCATTAAATGTCTCATTAGGCCAAGGATTGAGGTCTTAGAGAATAATAGTAATTGTGTTCTTAAAATGGAGGATACCTTACTTTTAAACACTTATACAATTAATTAATTTGAATTTCTTGGAGAAATGTGTATCATTGCAGGATCTGCAGTTTGTTTTGGTGGTAGACATTTGTATGATGACTATTTTGGACTTAGGTAATGAAAGCTTAATTCTTTTTCTTGGGGCAACCAGCAGAGCCTTGGCATAGTAGAGGTTGAGAAATCAGAGGGCTTGCATTTTGACTGTTTTCTAGGTACCAGGGATCTTTTGTTCAATGGCACCACATTATTAAAAAGTTGTTAATTCAATTCTTAAAGGAAAAATAGTCCCAAACTTAGCTATTGAAATAATATAAATGTACATTGTAAATATAAATGAAGTAATGCAAAAAAAGAAGTGAATATTACATAGTTTCACAAGGTTGATACATAACCCCCCCCATCCCAAGGTTATTCTTTACACAGCTTATCTCCACTGCTGTTCCAGTGGAGAATGGATTGGAAAACATTTCTCAAACTAGAGAGTATTATAATATTTACTTCCTTTAAAAGCAAACACTTCCTCCACTAAAACTCTCAGCACTATGATTGATTTCATTCATTTTGTCGGTTTTGTTGAACTAATTCACCTAAAATATCTTGTGTACATCCTATTAACCATTATAAAGCTTTTCAACAAGGGAAGTGAAAGGATCGTTCCTCTGTAAAAAAAAAAAAAGTTAAAATAGACTGCATGAAAAGGATTTTGACCTCTCGGAACTAATATGAATGTATTTTAAGTAGTTCATCTTCTTGATTTGAGAATATGTTTATGCATCTTGAAAATTCCAAAGCCTCTCTTGCAAACTTGTGATGTGTAAAAACTTCATTATTGACCACTTAACCAAAGCAGAATTCCTTGAGTGATTTAAGAACAATTTATTTTACTTCAGATGTAAATTTTTTAATAGCACACTAAGGATGTTATATGAGCAGTTCTCTCCATGTGATCTTCCACGAATGTCTGATGTTTTGTGAGCAACTTCACAACAACCTGCTGCTTTTCACCCACTTCATAGCTAAACACTTTCATATACGTTATTTTGTTTGATGGATTTCTCATAGCATCCCTCTCAGGTAAGTCTTATTACCCCCGCACTTTATAAAAGAAGAAACATAGGTCAGAGATGATTTGTCCAGGATCACTTTGCCAAAAAATGTTAGAGCCAGGAGAGGAGTCGGTACTCTCTAATTCTGGAATTTTTGTGCCTTTTGCTGTTGTTCAAGCTGTTCATTCAGGGTGTGTGTGTGTGAATTTGTCATGATTAATTGGGACTCATTAATGTGAAATGGAAGAGTCATGAAATGCAAATTTAGTTCTGAAATGAAAGTACACCTTCATGTACAAATGGCTTTTCAAGAAAGAAGACTAATTTAATAAGCAGCCTTAGCCAAAGGAACAACAGATCAAATAGAAATGTTGGCCCAGTGGAGTGGCTCATGCCTGCCCTCCCAGCACTTTGGGAGGCTGATACAGGAGGATTGCTTGAGACCAGGAGTTTGAGACCAGCCTGGCTAACTTAGCAAGACCTTGTCTCTACAAAAAAAAAATTTTTTTAATTAGCTGGGCATGGTGGCTCACACTCATAGTCCCAACTGCTCAGGCAAGAGAATTGCTTTAGCCCAGAAGTATGAGACTGCAGTGAGCTATATAATATGATCATGCTACCACACTCCAGTCTGTATAATACGATCGTGCTACCACACTCTAGTCTGGGCAACAGAGTGAGACCCTGTCTCTAAAAAAAAAAGCAGCAGCAGCAGCAGCATAATCTAGGCATACCTTACTTATCTAGAATGTTTGGAATAAGATTCTGTAGCTGAGTGAAATTTCAGATAATCAAAACTTAACCTTATAAATGATGGACCTTTAATTTTGTTGCTGTTGGAAATCTTTGTTATACTCCCTCAACAAACAATATAGCAAACATAATATAGGCTTTTATGAGCTTGAATATGTTTGTTGTTTTGTATATGTTGTAGATACAGATCAGGGTTGTTAACTTTTGGTACTGGACACCTCCACATTTGAGAGGTCCTTTGAACTTCTCAAATTTTTATGAATGTATACCATTTTTGAGAGAGAGGGTCCATAGCTTATGTCTGCAACTCAGAGTAGTTCATGCTCTTTAAGTTAAAAAGCACTGATACAGATGATTAGGAAATAAATGGCTATTGACCCACACTATGATGGGTTTCATGAGGGTAAACACTGGATCTGTTTTGTTTTTACTCAGTCCTTACCACTTACTGGTGTTCAGCTCTTAGTAGACAGGCAATACACATTTTTTGGATGAAAGACACTAGGAAATATCTTGGAATATGCTGCAAATATAAGGTGAGTTTTCACACCTCTTTTCTCCTGAAAGAATAAAATAGATACAACTTTTAGGATATTGTATCTTTCCACTGAATAATTATTAGTTCAAAGGAATGGAATGACCTTATAAGAATGTTTCTTCTTGAAAGAAAGTTTTGCTGCCCTAAACTCTGTTGACTGGTCTGATCTGAAAATGAATTTGTTACTGTCCTTATTATTACCAATGCAATGGACTATGGCCTGCCTTCATTTTAGTTTAACCCACATCTCAGAGCATTACAGTAGAGGGGGATCTTAGAAGTCAGGTAATCTAGTCCTCTAATTTTTACAGATGAGGAAACTTAAGGGCCAAGAAGGGAATTGGCTTGCAAAGGATCACACAGGTGCAGACCTGGGACATAGCCAGTATCCCCTGGCTCCCATTCTGATTTTATTTCTACGACATTCTGCTCCCTTATTGTTCTTTTTGTTTGTTCTTGCTAAACAGCCCTAAATGAGAACATACCCATTTTAACTGCCCTCACCTTTGGCTTTGCTTATTGCTCCTCTCTAGGTCTTACCAAGAATTTATTGAGTACACAATGGATGCCCTATACACTGTGAAAGCTGTAAAATGAATGGACTGCCCCACTTCCTAGGGCTGATTTATTGCAACGAACAAACATATATAATACACCAGAAGAACCTGTACAAAACAGTATTATAAGTGCTGCTGGGGTGTCCTGGAGCCAGTTCCTATGGGCTTCATGCACATCTCTTCCCAATTTCATAATCGGTGATGTTACATTAGTAGCTTAAGATCTGCTATGATAAGGGTTATTGGCAAACCCTACAAATCAGGGCTTGTCTCCACTGGCCCCCTCCAGTATACCGTTGGCTTTAAGAAATCTGAGATTCCCGAAGACTCCATTGAAACGAAGGAGTCTCAGAGTGACATGATCACATGTAGAGGTGGTAATGAGTCTGAAAAGGGTATGAAAGAATAAAGTTTACCTTGGATTTTGATCAGGAGGTAATAGGAGATAAAATGTGGTCTTTTGAGAAGTTTGAACCAATTGAATTTGGATGAAAAAAAAATCTTTTAGCAGGAGAAGTAATCAAAGAA